CTCTATGTGGGTCAGTGGTAATTTGAGCCATGAATATTTATCAACAGCAGACGTTTTACAGTGTAATACACCACTGTGATTTCCTGCTTGAGTAACGCAATGCCACGCCGTTCAATAGTTTCCTGTCACGGACCACAATGCACCTCTGTTCCACCCTGCGCTGGCGAACATGTCCGCACTCGTTTTAAATTCAGCACCACTCCATCATTGACTCCTACTGTCCCGTCTTCAGCTTCACCCAGCACCATTATCCTCTGCGTGGACGTTCATTGTGCTGCGTTCGGTAGTACAGCGGGGCTATTGTGCGCAGTTCTACAGTGATGATAAAGTAGAGGAGTGCATTAAACTACGCGCTACAATGCTTTTGGGTAAACACGGTGCTGCACTATTGTGTTAGCGCTGCATTCGGAGTGCGTCTCTATTGTGTCTCTGCTGTGTCGGTATTGTCTCACTATTGTGTTCGCGAAGCCCTTTCCTCAAACATTCACTTTCTTGGACAGTTTTGGACCAACTCAGATTGAACGCACCTTAACCAAAGTCTCGGTGTAGTGTAAACTTAAAGGTGCCACAGAATGGAAAACATAGATGAATAAGGAGAGTTCGGTATATGGAACTGACACACACTGCTCCTCCCTCACACGCAAATCACTCATTTGCAAAAGAGTGCAGTAAAATGGGCCTATTCCAAAATCCTAAACTGCTACATAACAGTCTTGACTCATTAATATTTATGCCACTAAATTGTTTATGTACACTTTACATACGTTCTAGCTCAGCAGGAACCAATGACAACACAGCAGCAGCAATGAAAATGGTGGACTATGTGTAGAAATGTACCGTTCCAGGCCGTGAAGGGATGTTGGCACTTTCATTCCCTTCCCAAAGAACCATCAACTGGCTGAAGTTGGCATCCTATTCACCAGCTTCTTAATCAAATGTTTCACCTTAAATGCTCCAGCTTGTACAGGCGTAAATTCTCAAAACAAGCTGGCGAATAAGAAACCAACTTTAGCTCCCACAGCTCTAACAGGATCCAGACAGCTTTTTTTTCCCAAATTTTCCCCAAATTTAGTTGTATTCAATTCCGCCCACTAGTTATTTTCCTGCCTGTTTTTATTTTGACATGTTGCTTCTGTGTGATCACAGCCAGCCAATCAGAGCACAGCTCATCAGATTATTCATCAACCCCCCTAAAACCCTTTTAGGGTGGCTGATGAATAATCTGATGAGCTCATTTCATTCTAGGGCCAAATTATAGGGTTGGAAATGGGCGTGTTCTGATGCACAACAGATTAAAGTCACGTACCTTCTATGTAGACATCAGAGAACAGTTTAAAATACTGAATAAATGCTTCCTATGGCATCTTTAAATTAACTGACTTTAATATTAAAATGCGTTCAAATTTATTGCATCAAAAAAAAAGTAAGTAAAATTACTGAACAGGTTGTGTTTAAATAGCTTTATATAGGAGTTAGAGTTACTTTCTAATTGTCAGTGATCCACACTTCTGCAGCGAGTCAGGTTAACTTCACTAGATTTACCCCAGGAACTTAAAATTAGATAAGAAATAATATCTGTTACTAGATTTGTTTTAGTAATTTCAACAAACAAACAAAGTAAACTCAATAAAATTATGTTAATTAAGCGCAATTATTATGTTTTACAGTGTGGTGTTAGATAAGTGCTGGAAATAGCTCAGCATGAGTACACCGTACAATGTCTAATGTTTGGAGATGCCTAGCTTTTCAAAATGTCCATGTTTTCATCATCAGTTTGCTGTAACGTAACACATTAAACAGACATTTAACATATTAAATGGTAAGTTGTGGAGTATTAAACTATGCTGCTACAGTGGGAAACAAAGGTTCTACACTATTGTGTCTCTATTCTGTTTCTACTGTGTCTATTTATGTGCCTATTATATTTCAATTGTGTTGTTATTGTGTGGCTATTGTGTTTTAATTGTGTTTCAATAGTGTTTTTGTGTGTCTACTGTGTTTCAATTGTATTTCAGTTGTGTTTTTGTGTCTCTCGTGTGTTTCTATTGTATTTCTATTGTTTTTATTGTGCCTCTATTTTTTGTGTCGCTCTGTTGGACCACCCTGTGTTCCTATTGTGCCTCTATTATATTTGCTAACTCTCCTCTTAAAGACCAATCTCAAATCAAACTTATCAAGCTAATCCAAATCTGAACTGTGGTAGATTTGGTCTTGAAACAGTTAGACAAGAAAGCATGCCGCCCATCAAAAGTTTGGAGACATCTGATGTTTCAAAATATTGGCAATAACGTCTAAAGTTCAAACAGAAACCTGCAGAGTATGAAACAAAGAGTTCTACACTGCTTTTGGGAGAACATGGTGCTGCACTATTGTTCCCCTATTGTGTTGTTGTTGGGTCTCTATTGTGTTTGCTGAGTCAAACACAAATCCAATTTATGAAGCTAATCAAAAGTCAAATTTCAGCATCAAAGGTTTAGAATGTTTTGCCAGTTTACAGTAACTTGACATATTAAAGAGAAAGCTATTAAGTTCTACACTGCTTTTGGTAGAACACAGTGCTGCACTACTGTAACACTATTGTATCTCTTATATGTCAATCTCAAATCCAACTTAACCAACTAATCAAAGTCTTACTTGTGTTACATTTGGGCTTAAAACAGTAAGGTATGAAAATACACAGCCATCAAAAGTTTGGAGAAGCCTACATTTTAAAACATGTTTTTTTGTATCTCTTTGCAATAACTTGACATATGTTAATAAGCTGTTGAACTTGGGTGCCCAAGCTTTTGGCCAGATGTAACAGTTGTGGACCAAAAAGACAAACAGTATACAAATAATGAATGTACAGGTGGGTTTCAAATCAAATTTGTGTATTTTTCAACATTACACACTATTGTGTCACTAAAATGCTTCAAAAGTATAAATTTAAAAGGAAAAAAAAAAAGATTTAGGTTGTATAAAGAAGGAAAAATTGTTCTCTCATTAGGTGAGGGGTGGGCTCAGGGTAAGAGTAGGGTTCTTTTTTGATTTTCATTCAATGGAACATGCTAAGATTAAGTAGAAAACTGTAGTATTAAACTACAGAAAGTGCTACAGTGCTTTTGAGAGAATTTGGTGCTACATTATCGTGTCTTTATTGTGAAAGCCAGTCCTCCTCTTAATGATTCACTCTCCTGGACTGCTGTAGTCAATGTACTTAAGTCTTAGTTATCTTGGTTTAGGGCCTAAAATAGTCCTATAAGAATTAAAGTTTGGGGTGGTGAACCTTTCAAAATGTTTTTTAAATAAATAAGCATGATTTCTTTATCGCTTTGCAACAATTAAACATGTTAAATAGAAATCTGCTTTATCTTGCAGTTTAGATCTTGCACAACTGAAGGACCAACTGCCAAAATGCCCTACCCTGGGAATGAAGCCAAAGTCCACACATTTTATCCTATTGTTGTGATGTCAGCACTTAAACCTTTCAGGTGTTTAAACCACCTTTGGGCTAAAAGATTTTCAATGGGTGCTTTTAATAACAGTTAAGAAAAGAAAACAGTAATAAGACAAATCATTATTTGGGCAAAATCTGCTCTTGATAACAAGAAAATCACTTTGAACATGAAGATGAATGGTGACGATAATTAGTTCATAACACAAACTTTTCATGGGCCCCTGTTCTGCTATTTGCCTTACCTGTGCATCCACCAGGGTGGCATTGGTAAGGCTCTCGTTGATGAAGACGTGGACAAGCGCGGTGGCACACAGTGAGGGAACTCCACTGTCGTTCACCCGCACCACCAGGCGGTGGAGCCCCCGGTGCCTCCTCTCCAGCGGCTCAGCCAGGGTGATGACGCCACTGTTGGGGCCGATCTCAAATAACCGGAAAGGGTTTCCCCCAACCAAGGCAAACCGCAGGTCTGCGTTGGATCCGGTGTCTCCGTCCGAGGCTGTCACGGTGCGGACCACGGTCCGGGCTCCGCTTGCTGGGGGCAAGAGTGTGTATGACTCATTGGCAGGGGCGGTGACGGCAGGGGCATTGTCATTTTCATCCGTGACGAAGAGGGAAACTGTGGCGGTTGCTGATCGTGGTGGTTCTCCTCCGTCCACAGCTCGAACACGGAAAGTGTAAGTGCTGCGGCCTTCACGGTCAAAGGAAGCTGCAGAAAAAATGGTACCTGTGTTGTTTTCAATGGAGAAAATTTCCTGTTTCCGTCCTCCTGCTTCATCTTCTTCCTCATCCTCCTCCACAAACAGACTCAACTCAGCATTCTCCCCTTCATCAGCATCCGTAACAGTCACCATACCAACAGGACTGTTAGCAAGAAGATTCTCTTTGACGTAGAAGGTGAAGACCTCCTGAACAAATTTTGGCGCATTGTCATTCCTGTCTGTTACCTGGACAACAACAGTTGCAGATCCTTGTAAAGAAGGGGACCCTTTGTCCCTTGCAATCACCCGAAATTCGTACCTTTCACGCTGCTCTCGGTCCAGAGCACCTGTGGCACGAATATCCCCGTTGTCAGCATCAATATAAAATGCACCATTTACAGATGGATCCAGAGAGTATGCAATTTCTGCATTTTTGCCACTGTCAGCGTCTGCAGCCACCACAGTTACCACCCGCTCACCTGGTGCATTGTTTTCAGCAAAATGGACCTCCACTAAGCTCTGAGCAAAAGTAGGAGCATGATCATTTATGTCCACAACCCGTACCATTAGGGTGCTGTTGCTGGACAAGCTTGGACTTCCTGAATCCACAGCTACGATTGTAACGCTATAATCTCGAGTTGCCTCATAGTCCAACAGTGCTGAAGTATGCAGAAAGAATTTCTTCTTGTTTCGCTCAAAGGCATCATCTGTGGGTGGAGGAGGAGGAGCTAGCGCATTTTCACCTGCCGGTTTTAGCGTAAATGGGACATCTCCCACCACTGTGCAAGTAACAGCACCGTTTTCCCCTTGGTCACGGTCTGACACTTGCACCAAAGCTACTGGAGTGTCCACAAGAACATTCTCTGGAACCATGGCCACACCATCCCGCACTAGAATGCGCCCAATTTTGCGGATTTCAACAACAGGCACGTTGTCATTCTCGTCTCGTACATTCAGGATGACTGTGGCACGGTCAGTGCGAGGAGGCTGCCCACGGTCCCTTGCAGTAACGGTGAAACGGAGCTGTGAAACTTCCTCGCGGTCAATCCGGTGCAGGACGCTTAGCCAACCGGAAGCCTCATCTAGCCTAAGCATGCGCCTCACGGACTCTGTGGCAGCACCAAACACATATTCCACCTGCCCGTTCACTCCAATGTCACGGTCTGAGGCTCGCACCTGGAGCACCGGCGTCCCCGGTGGGGTATTTTCTGCCATCTCTGCTTCATACACGGCCCTCTCGAACCGTGGGCTGTTGTCATTTACATCTGTGATGGCGACTCGAAGCAAAGCCTGTGATGATCGCGGTGGACTCCCGCCATCCCGAACACGTAGCATAAGCTCATAAGAATCTCGAGCTTCACGGTCAAGTGGGCCTTTAACGATCAGCTGGGGCTGCTTTTGTCCATCAGGTGTGTCTGCTACCTGCAGTTCGAAAACATTGCTCCGCCCTGCAGGAACTGACCCTGCCTCTTGGCTCCGCCTCCTGTCAGCTCCTCCATTGTTGGTTCCTGCAGCCATGCTAGCACCAGCAGGCCGCCGTTGGTCTCGACTATCCTGCACTAGCTCGTAGCGGTCAATCCCGTTGCGCCCGAAGTCACGGTCAGTCGCCGTAGGTAACAGGTACAGCGTCCCGATTGGTCGGTTCTCCTCAACAGACAGCGTCAGCACCGGGGATGGGAAGGAAGGTGTGTTGTCGTTGACATCGGTTATGACGATGCGGCCCTCGAACAGGTCAACCCAGCTTTGCAGGGGGCCAATGACGGAAACTTCAAAGTCCAGGAAACATTCGTTCTCGTCAAAGATCATCTGGCACTGGGGAAGCTTCTCACGATCGATCCTCCGGCTGCTGGTGGTCAGCTCCCCCGTCACATTGTCAATTTTGAAGTACTCGGACCCAGACTCCAGGGCGAACGTGACGTCCCCGGTCCCGATCCCGGACGTGGACAGTCCCAAGTCGGCCGCCACATTTCCAATGCGAACGTCCGGTGGACCTTCTTCCGCTATCTTGTAGCGCAGCGCAGAGTCCACAGGCATTAGCTGAGTCAGCAGCTGCAGGGCGAGCACGAGGTAGCAGCGCAGCGCCGGTTGCAATGCGCCAACACTCTCGCTACCCATGGCTGTCTTCCTTACTCTCTCTTTCTCTCTTACTCTCTCTCTCTCTCTCTCTCTGCAGTTGCCCAGAGCTAGCGGGCTCCACTCCAGCTCCCTCGCTCCCTCTATCACTGCCCAGACCGGCCAAATGCACCCCAACAATCCTGGTCGTCTTCTTTGAGAAAAATAAATAAATAAACAAATAAAAAAAAACCCAAACCTTTAGTTCCTTTAGTTCTCCGGTCACGTTCACGCGCAGTCAAAATGAATATATCCTCTGAGGGGGAAGCCCATGTTCATCACTTCAACCTCCCGGCGTAAAATCCAACAGAGTCCACTTTCAGCAATATTTGCACGTGCGCACGTATGTATACGCAGAAAATGTACACACACACGTATCTCCTGTGATTGATTTAGGAAGGGGAGTGCAGCTGGGCGCGCGAGTTTTCCCCCTCGTTCACTTTATCCGCTTCATTGAGATGCTGCGGGTCCCTCCACTGTTTTAAACTGCAATGCAGCAGAACACAAAAGGGAGAGAGATCCGTCCGTGACTTCAGCTTGGGACGCTTCTCTCTCTCTCACTCTCTCTCTCTCGCTCGCTCGCTCCCTCCCTCCCTATTTCTCTTCTCTCTCTCCCTCTCGCTCTCTATCCCTCCCCTCTTTCTCTTTCTCTCTCACTCCTTCTCTCGCGCGCGCACGCTCTCTTTCTATCTCCCTCCGTGTTTGTATCCTCAGTGGAGTCTGTCTATCTTTCTCTCTCTCTCTTTTTAAAGTCTGCTCCGTCCTCTTTTCTTCCTCCGCAGGATCGGCGCGTGAAAGCTCCCCTCCTTCTCTCCTTCTCTCTTTTTTCTCTTCCTCCGCGCTGCAGTCCGTGCGTGCGCGTGCTCCTCTGCGCTGTTAAGTTGAAGCGAATGCGAGCGCGTGCTGCTGCCGCTGCTGCTTTTTTTTTTCTTTCTTCAAGAAGAGTGATTCCTGCGGAAGGGGAGCTGCTCGTGCGCGCGAGTGAGCGAGCGTTAGTGTGTGTGTAGAGTGTGTGTGAGAAGTCCCGCATTCTCGGTCCACGCGCCTCCTCCTCCTCCTCCTCTTCCTCCTCCACCTCCTCCCCCCGTTCACCTGCACGTTCTACCGCACTGCACGCGAGAGCCTCTCTCCAATGATGCTGCAGTCTCGCGCTCACCCTCTCCCTCTCCCTCTCTCTGCACCGTTTCCCTCGCCGCGTAACTTGATCGGTGAATGGAGAAACCGAGAGGCAGTGGGTTAGTGGAGTGTGTGTGTGTGTGTGTGTGTGTCAGTGCGCTAAAGAGTGTGTGTGGGCAGGGACAGCGGGATAGTGGCGCGTGAACACGTGTGTATATGGTAGGGCTGTCAAACGACTAAAATAATCGCAGTCCATAGCATAAGTGGAGTGCAGTGACTCCCAGTGAACCGTATTAGTTTGTGTGGTTAATCAAGCTGAATCACATTAGTTTGTGTAATTAATCATGATTAATCACAGTAGTTTGTGTAGTTAATTGCGATTGATGACATTAGTTTGTGTAATTATTCACGATTAATCACAGTAGTTTGTGTAGTTGATTGCGGTTAATCACATTAGTTTGTGTAATTATTCACAATTAATCACAGTAGTTTGTGTAGTTGATTGCGGTTAATCACATTAGTTTGTGTAATTATTCACGATTAATCACAGTAGTTTGTGTAGTTGATTGCGATTAATCACATTAGTTTGTGTAGTTGATCACGATTGAGCAAATTAGCTCACAAAGTTCGATTGCATTAGTTGGTTGGTTGGGTAGTTGCTCCCGACTAATTGCATTTGTTTTTGTAGTTAATTGCATTTAATCACAGTGTTTTGTGTAGTTATTTGTTTTGTTCACAGTAGTTTGTGTAGATGATTGCAATTAATCACATTAGATCACAAAGTTCAATCACTGTAGTTTCTGTAGTTGCGCATAATTGATTGCTTTAGTTTGTGCCGTTAATCTCGATTAATCACATTACTCCATGTAGTTAACCATGATTAATTGCTTTAGTTTGTGCAGTTAATCACAATTAATCACATTCATTTGTGTAGGTGATCACGATTAATCACATTGGGTCGCAAAGTTGCACAGGTTACATTAGTTATGTATTTGTGTATTAGTTAGTGTAGTTGCTCCTGACTATTTGGATTAGTTTGTGTAGTTAATTGCGATTAATCACATTCGTTTGTGTAGTTAACCATGATTAATAGCTTTAGTTTGTGTAGTTAATCACAATTAATTGCATTAGTTTGTGTGGTTAATCGTGATTAATCTCTTTGTCTTTGTGTAGTTAGCCACAATTGATTACTTCAGTTTGCGTAATTAATCATGATTAATCACATTTGTCCTGTGCATGTGCACAGTACATGCTCTACAGGGAACAAACTTAAATATGCCATTTTTTCTTCAAACTTCAGTGCACAGTGTCTATTTATTTGCTTAATTTAGCCTACATGAAATATAAAACATGTTCTCTTTATTCCCAATAAATTTGAAGTAAATAAGCAGTAACTGTGCATAAAATGTCCAGCGCTCAACAAAACTTGGAGTTTGACCAGGGGTACTTAAATGTTTGCACATGACTGTAAGCAGTGGTGATTCTAGGACTGTATGAAGGAGTTGTTATTGGGTGGCAAAGGCAATTTTAAGGAGCCCAAAGTTGATAAAGCCATATGATCCAGCTCAGAAAATGATCCAAAATGACCCAGAGTAACAGGCCTATTCCATTTCCTCCTTTTTATGTGAACAGAAATTATAAAATAGACATCGGATGAATGGGCAACTATACAGAAGCACATTTCTACAGAGCTCAGAGACAGAACAGTGAAAACACCGGAGGGCATTACTTCTGCTATGACATCTTTAAACAACACTCAACGCATCATTAGTGGAAGTGCACACAGTGCACGGTCTGATGGAGCCGGAGTTGGCTTCCTACTCGCCAGCTCCTTACTCAAATTTTCCTCCTTTAATGGTGCAGCGGTTACATGCTGATGCATGTATGGTAATAAGAAAACAAAGCAATGCAACCTCTACACAGTGTAAGGTGGAGCATAAAATCAGAAGAGTTTCAGCCTGCCTCAACACAGCCTACAGCTCTTCATGCATTAATGCATCTCCCATAAATATACTCTGTATTCAACCTCGGCCTACATGGCAATAAAATAAACAAAAACGCATACGTCACTGTTGTTTATGTAGGTCTGTGTAGGTCAGTAGTCATGAAGAGCTTACCTTTGTTTCAACACACACCTTAAACATCTTTCAAATGTTATTGTGCGTGTAAATATGAAGTGGATATATGCACTTAAAGTATATTAAATAACAAAATAACACAATATACACTCATTTGTTTTAGCGACTGCTTTGTTCACCCTGTAGAAACATGTTCATGTTCAGGTTCTGTGATCATATGATGAAAATAATGTTATTGATTTCTGGAAAGTATTAAACACATAAAGCTTAACAAGATGCAGTGTTTAAATAGAAGAATATTTCTTTAGAATAAAAGTAAAAAAAAAAGGCAAATGTGATTATTTACAATGAACTGCACAAAATAATTAGATCAATTTCACTTAATGAGACAACGCAATGCAATTCATTGTGATCACACAAGGAAATGTGATTAATCACATCTGATTATGCTAAACAATGTGATTAATTGTGATTGGCTACATGGGACAACGTGATTAATAACAACTGACCATGCTAAAAATGTGATCATTGTATCTGTCTAAACAAGGCAATGTGATTAATCACCAACGACTATGATAAGCAATGTGATGAACTGTGATTGGCTACACAAGGCAGTGTGATTCATCACAATTTACTATGCTAAGAAATGGGATTAATCGTGATTTGTTAAATAAGGCAATGCAATTGATCACAACCAACTATGTTAAACAATGTGATTAATCGTAATTGGCTACACAAGGCAATGTAATTTATCACAATTGGCTGCACAAGGCGATGCCATTAATCACAACTGACTGCTGTGTGTGTGTGTGTACTCTCCATTAAAGCTCATATCAGTGTTTTATAGGAGCATCCACTCGCTGAGGGTCATAAGAGAGGTCGCAGACTATTATTAAAGAAGTGTCATTATTAATATTTTTATTATCATAATTATAGTTGCCCAGAGAAAAAATCAAATATACTGACAGTGTAAAAGCAGCACTCACACATACCTACACACACACGGACACACACTCAAACTGAAATGTATATATATATACACACACACACATACTACACACACAGTGACCACTTCATTAAGGTATTATTTGGGTCGTAGATCATTTGTGGTGGTGGTGTGTTAGTGTGTGTTGCGCTGGTCTGAGTGGATCAGACTCAGCAGTGCTGCTGGAGTTTTTAAACACCTCAGTGTCGCTGCTGGACAGAGAATAGTCCACCAACCAAAAATATCCAGCCAACAGCGTCCTGTGGGCAGCGTCCTGTGACCACTGATGAAGCACTAGAGGATGAAGAACACAAACTGTGCAGCAGCAGATGAGCTATCGTCTCTGACTTTACATCTACAAGGTGGACTGACAAGGTAGGAGTGTCTAATAGAGTGGACAGTGAGTGGACATAGTGTTTAAAACCTCCAGCAGCACTGCTGTGTCTGATCCACTCGCACCAGCACAACACACAATAACACACCACCGCCACATCAGTGTCACTGCAGTGCTGAGAATGATCCACCACCCAAATAGTACCTGCTCTGTGAGGGTCCATGGGGGTCCTGACCACTGAAGAACAGGGTAAAAGGGGGCTAACAAAGTATGCAGAGAATCAGATGGACTACAGTCTGTGAATGTAACTACAAAGTGCACCTTTGGAGATACTGGGTTTCATTTCCAATAGCGACAGTATATAGATACAGACATATACACTCTTTCAGACACACGCTGTGCACACTCTCTCTCACACACACGCACATACACACTCACAGACACCCTCTCTCTCTCTCTCTCTCTCTCTCTCTCTCTCTCTGCATTGCAGCAGTGACAGAGCGCGAGTTCCACAACAAAAGCAGCTCCTCCTCCAGCATCTGCACACGCACACGCAGCCGAGGGGCAGCAGGGCAAAGGGAATCCCCCCCACACCACTCACACACACACACACACCACACACACACATATATACACACACTCACACACGCCCCCCACTCGTGTGTGTGTGTGTGTGTACCGTGGTGGTGGCGGGGGGGGGTGGAGGAGCTTGTGCCGCTGCAGCAGATTTAAGCTTTAACATTCTGCAGGCGTCACCACGCGGCAACGCGGCACACGCAGCTGCGCCCTCTGCTGGACACACACGCACAGACATACACACACATACACACATAGCCACGTACAACTGTCAGAAAGCCCCATTCATTTACTGAATTTCCAGTCAAAACAGCTATTATGCACAAATTTTCAGCTTCGGGGAATCAGACAGAAGCTTCAGCAACTAAATCTAATCTCAGATGTTTGAGTGTTCAGTGTGTCACTCTTTACCTTTATTACAGTTTCCATTCTTTTCAGGAGACTCACTTTCAGTTTGTCAAAGAATCTGCAGACACACCTCCAAAGTTCAGTCTTAGAAGCTGGTTGATCATTTTCTGAAGTAATCAAACACATTCAGTGATGCTGAGGTCTGGATTCTGGGGTGGTCAGTCCATTGTTCAGCTTCTTTGTTTGATGTATCCGTCTCCATTTCTCAGTGAGGCTTCTTGACAGCTACACATCCTTTCAGACCCACAGCGCTGAGTCGTCTTCTCACAGTGGAAGGATGGACAGAAACACCTGTGGATGTTTTCAGATCTGAAGCAGCTTGATTTTCTCCTCTCTCTCCAAGATGAAAGCTTTAAGTGCTGTTTATCTGATGGGGGCAGTTTTGGCATCTACCAGGTCTTCCACGTGGTTGTTAGGAGGCCCGTTTTTTCTATAGCTTTGAAATGAGTCAAAATGTTTGTATGATACTAAACTTGAGTGTTACATTAAACATTCAGCCAAGCTTGAATGAAAAATATGAATAAGATAAAACAAAAAAAAAACACAGACTTATCTA